CAGTGTATTCATTAATTTTCATTTTCATGTAGTAAAGGCTCTATGCCTTCATAAAGGACGTACTTTTCCTTTGTTTAAGGGTATTTGGGCAGTTTATTCTCTGTTATATTCTCAAGTAAACAATACATACAAGTACAGTACAGTATTTTCTGAGGAAACACTCGTACTTATTTTTTTTAACCCCATTCCCGATAACCCGGCATTTTCACAAACTCGGCCGCCCTTTGGTCCACATTAGGCCGAGTTTTCGAGGTTCTACTGTAATATATTTTTATTAAAGATCTTAAACATACTTAATTATTTAATTCATTACTTTGAAGCTGATGGAACAGCATTTTCTTTTGGAGATGGTAGTAGTGGACAGTTAGGACTTGATACAGATATTTTAGATACATCACTTCCAGTGCAAATAAATTTTCCTTATAAAATTGCAAGAGTAAGCTGTGGTGAAAATCATTCAGCATTTCTCACAGGTTGTTTTATTTTTCATTCATTAAATATATTTTTATTTCATTTGAATATGCAAATTTTATGCTAAAAGTAATGATAATATATTATTTTATTTTTGTAGTTAATGGTCAAATATATACCTGTGGTAATAATAGGCATGGCAAATTGGGTCTTCTTGATGATGACGACAGCAATGATGATGATAATGATAATGAATTATGTAATAAATTTCTGCCTAATTTAATTACAAGATTTTATAATTTTAGTGTTCAGCAGGTAATCATTTTTATCTTGAACTGAAAAATAATTCATAAACATTTACTTTACTTATCTTTTTTCTTTCAATAACTTACTAAAGTTATTTCATTACTAATATTTGCAGTATTATAGTTATAAATAGAAAAACATACTGATGTATTGAAAAATTGATCAATTATTTGGCTAATTTCCATTAAAATTTTTCAAGTTATAAAATGTTTACTCTTTTTGGTTTTGTCTCAATTTGAGTCTCAATCTCTTCTTTATTTAAAATATCAATGTTTCTTTATATCATCTAAAATATGCATACAACAGTATTTATAAAATTACAATAATATAGGAAAAAAATTAAAAAATATTATTTAATATATAAAAATAACAACAAATAGAATTACAATGCATTGAATTAATAGATCTATTATATTATATAATTAACTTTTAACTTGTTGAAAATTATTCATACTATAGATGTATCATCAATACTGTTTCAATTTTCACACAAGTGTTTACAAAGTACACTGCTGGCCATTAAAATTGCAACACCAAGAAGGAAAGTAAATAAAAAAAAGATATTTATTGTACGTAAACAGTATGGCATGAAGACAAAATGATTAAATATGCAAGCAGTTTGGGGGTTTACAGGGTTGCGAAATTAATAGACACTGTTGTCACTCCTGGCAGCTAAAACGGCCCTTATCCGTTTAGCTATAGAGTCGAACTGGGCTTGGAAGACAGAAACGGGCAACTTGTTCCATGCTGCTTCAAGTCTATGTTACACTTCATCAACCGTATTAGCTGGAGAGGGGTGGCGGGCCAGTTTCTCAGCACCCACATGACCAGATGTTTTCAATTGGTGAGAGATCTGGAGACCATGCAGGCCAGGGCAAAATCGAATACCCTCTGTATCTAGGAAGGTCAGAACATGATGTGTAACATGAGATCTTGCATTATCTTGTTGGAAGATGGCATTTTGCAAGCCTCGAAGATAGGGCACAACCACTGGACGTAAGATGTCAGAAATGTACTGATCTGCATTCAAGTTACAGTTGATCCAAACTAGAGATGTGCGTGTCGTGTACCCAATGGTTGCCCATACCAGGTGCAGGGACCCTATGCCGATATCGAATGCAAGCAGGCCTACGAGCGGTCTCCTCGGAGCCTCCAAACATGTATACGGCCATCAGAATGCTGCACGCAGAACCAGGACTCATCCAAAAAGACGACATTGTGCCACTTTTGTATCCAGTTTTGTCGTTGGGCACACCAGAGTTGCCGTCTCTTTCTATGCTGCATTGTCAAGGGAAGCTGAAGTAATGGTCGCTGTGTTGACAGTCAATGCTGCTGCAAATGTCATTGCACCATATGAGTAGATACTGGACATGCTGCAAACAAGCTCATTTCCTGACTAATGGTCTGTGATGTGGTTGTACGGTTTTGCATGGCCAACCACACAATATGTCTGTCCTCTCGGGCGTTAGTCATGGGAGAGCATTGAGATCCTGCATGTTGTTCAGTAAGACCCTCAGCAACACATCGATTCCATATTCGCATGACAGTAGTTGGATTCTGACGAGTGCGAGTGGCAATATCACGGAACAATAATCCACACACTCGATAGACAACGAACCTGCTTCTACTGAATTCCGACACTTGCTGGTTAGCATTTCTTGTTCTTATTTGAGGCATAACATGATATTCTGAAGAAACCCCAACCTTACAAAGCAATTTCTGAATGAGAAATCCACCTCACAACTTTTCTTTTATGCAGTGCTTCAGATGTCGTTTGTCCCTCCTGCATCGTCTAAATGTGCTGAAATACTAATCATTTGCATATCCCAACCTCTTCTTCCTTTCATATGATTTTGACATTTGTAAGATCATTTCTTCTTGGTGTTGCAATTTTAATGGCCAGCAGTGTACAAGGTGTGTTCAAAAAGTATCGGACCTTTGGTCGGCAAAAATAAATTTATTGATTTTGATGTACAAAACCCTAATCCCCTTCAAAGTAGTCTCCTTGGTAATGTATACACTTCTCCCAGCGTTCCTGCCATTGCTGAAAACACTGCTGGAATGCATCTTTTCGAATGGCCATCAGCCGATCCGTCGGATTTTGCACGATGTCTTCTCTCGACTAAATTTGGGTTCCTTTTAGCGGCATTTTCAGCTTGGGCCAAAAGTCAAAAGTCACACGGAGCCATGTCGGGAGAGTACGGAGCGTGACGAACCACAGGAGTGTTATGTTTGGCGACGAAAGCCCGAATCAGATGCGCAGAATGGGTGGATGCGTTATCACGATGGAGCTGCCAAGTTTTGATCGACCACAGATCCGGTCGTTTGCGTCGCACAGCATCGGAAAGACGACGAAGGACCTCCTGGTAGTACTCCTTTGCGATGGTTTGGCCTTGTGGTGCGTACTCACGACACACTACCCCATGAGAGTCTAAAAAACTGTCAACATGACCTTTGATATTGCTGCGGACCTGCCGCGCTTTTTTTGGCCTCGAGGATCGTCCCCGAAAGCCTGCTGAATCTTGCGAATGGTTTACGCTTGGGTATCGCTAAGGTTTTTGGCAAAATTTGATGTAATATCGCTGCTCACGTTGTTCGACTGAACAACGTTGACTGAACTGCTCACGTTGTTCAGTCAACATTGTTCGACTGAACAACGTGAGCAGCGATATTCATTTTCCAGCTTAGTGGAATCCGACGAGACCAGCGATATCATTTTCCAGCTTAGTGGAATCCGACGAGAGCGCACTACATGACCTCACTCATAGGCCGATTGCCAACGAGTGACGCTTCCTGCAGGTGGGAAAAAAATTCAGGGCTGTGCATGACTGTCCCCTCCACAACTCCACCGAAGGAGGCCTCTCGCGCATCATTGGTTTACACGGAAAAAAAAATGGTCCGATACTTTTTGAACAAACCTTGTATATAAAAGTATCAAATATGTTAGATGTATTCTATTCTTACATAATTATATTGCACAATTAAAGCTTATAATTCAAAATTAAAATTGAAGNAGGCCTCTCGCGCATCATTGGTTTACACGGAAAAAAAAATGGTCCGATACTTTTTGAACAAACCTTGTATATAAAAGTATCAAATATGTTAGATGTATTCTATTCTTACATAATTATATTGCACAATTAAAGCTTATAATTCAAAATTAAAATTGAAGACAATCTTATGCATTCTAAAGCTTGCCCTCTTGCTGCGACTAAAGATGAAGACATAGATTGTAAGAATATGGATTAATTATCATAACAGTATCATTTATTCACTTTTTCTGTTAAAATGAAAGTGAATAATTGGTGGTACTGTTATTTTGACAGACTTTGTCTTCTATTTTAATTTTAAACTTAATTATTCTTTGGTTATGAAAACTGAAAAGATTGAAAAAACCTTATAATTCAAATTCTAGTATGCTCTTCTTAATACATCAAATACATAGTTTTAAACATGGATGTTAGTTTTACATATTTTCTCCCCCCTCTAATTAAAACATCATGATATAAAAATTATAATTATTTAATGTAATATCTTTATATTAGAATAAAAATTAAAAAATTATTTAGTTGCTTCTATATTATCATCAAATGTTTTTTGTTATTAACTGTTTAGGGTTTAACAAATTTGCAATCTTTCATATAATCATGATTCTAAATTTCTTGGCAAGATTACTTTGAACAATTGGAAAATTTATTATAAATGAATCTTATAATTTTTTTAAGGATAGTGTTTAAAAGTGAAATACTCAAAGATAGATTCTCATGATATGTTACAATTTAATATTATATTATGTTCATTTCTATGCTTTATAATAGTCATTTATAATTTTATATTTCAGATATCTTGTGGTGGTTGTCATACTGCTGTATTAGCTTCAAAGTGCAAACAATTAGACAACTTTCAAAATAATCATACAAGTGAAATGATTAATGACTCAAATACTCCCATATTAGATGCAAGACAAAGAAGGAGACAAAGAAATGTATGTATACGTATGAGCATAATCTATTTTATTTTTTTAATTGTTTAATATGTGATATTACTAATTAGAATGATATATAAATTTTGAAAATATACCTATAAAAATTATCATTTAAATTTGATATTTTAAAAAATAATTTAAAACTGAAACACACCTATATTTATATAATTGTTTCAGTTAAACAAGATATTTTATTTACATATCTGTATAATAGATTCCTTTGATTATTAACAAATTAAAGTTTCTCCTAATTAAATATTTTTATAAACTAATACATTTAACAGAAATCATTAATGTACAGTACATAGTATAGTAGAGTCTGCATAGGAGAACATGCTTGAGATTGCTGCATCATGCTCTCTTATCCAGACTGTTTCTTATCCAAAGTAATAAGATCACCCAGGGGGGTTTGTTAATAGTATTCAATTTTCTCCACCTTTTTGTGTCTTAGGAGCTGTAAATAACTTATAATACACTTAGAAATGTTAAAATTCATTATCTCATAACTTTACTATACTTGCATATTGGTTTCCATTCTTATATCAGCAATTTTATTGTTCTATTGAATAATCAGTAAATACAGTATACAGTAAGACCCCACTTAATGCTGCCTTGATTAATGCTGATTCAATGTAACTCGATCTGCTCGAAGCCTAAAAAAAGCTCAAAATTTTGCTGATTAAAATTATTGCAGCATTTCATTGATTTGTATATAATACAATTATTCCCAAACATGAACAAATCAGCAAAAGGTGGCATTTCTTCATAGTGCTGTACTTCCCTTAAATCTATGTTTGTTTGGTGCAATTTTGAAAAAATTATAACATCATAGATGCCATAGGCAATATTGACTTCACTTGGCAAGAATTAACTGATAAATGCATGAATGGAGTGTGGAAGAAGGTATGGCTGGAGATATCCAAGAATTCTCAATGAGAAAAGCCTATCGTTGACCAAATTGTCAATCTAATTGATACAATAGGACTAGGAGATGTAGATGAACAGAATATTGTGGAGTTAATGCAGGTTTCTTGTGAGAGCCTTACCAACAATGACCTTCAAGAACTAGCAGAACAAGGAATTTGTGTAGAACTGGAAAATAAAGATTCTGAAAACAAAGAACCCAAAGAATTTCTCTACAGTCTTCCTTAGTAAAAGTTTGGTAATGATAACTGAAATCATTGATCAATTTGTAGCGAATGATCCAGATTTTGAAAGGAGTTCAAAAGCAAGATGAGGCATTTTGGATGCAATCTCTTGCTACCAACATTTGCTTAATGAAAAAAGAAAAACCGACAAGTGAAACTACATGACTTTATCGCAAAAAACAAGAATTTTGGAAGAGCAGAACCTTCATCACAAACAAAGAACTTTACATTTTTATGTGCATAAGTTTGTTTTATTTAATATATATTATTATGCAAATTAATATAAAAATAACTTAAAATTAAAGTAAAATCTGTTTATTTTTGGTCATGTGTTTCCCTTTTCCTATTTACTCTGTGTTAAAATAACTTTGTTTAACGCTGTTTTGTTTAGTGCTTTGTCATCTAGGAACATATTCCCCGCATTAAGCAGGGTCTTAGTGCATTTTCCTTTCCTGAAATATAATAGGAGAACTAAATGAAAAGATGTGAACATCATTGCTTCAAAATTTCTGAATGCTCTATAATGGGATGTACAGTACAGTACAGTATAGAAACAAATAAATACAGTACTGCCAAGTAATGTCATGTGACCTCCAAAATCTGGTCACTAATCACTTTTTGCTTTGTCTCTTTGATGAGGACATATACATGAACAAACAGTACAGATCACATATATTTTATGATACTTTATTACTATGTAATTGCTTCTCATGTATGTCCAATAAAACCTGTTCATTGGTATTTTGTAAGAAATATTTTGACTCTCTGTTTGTTAGAAAACTGACCAATGGAAGACATTACAAAATCTTAACAAATCATAGTATAGAGCCCTGTCACCATGTACCATGTACCATAAATTAAAGATAGACTCTTATAAATTTCCTTAGAATAGTGCTCCATTATGTAGACTATTACTCTAAAAATTCTACTAATATGGTGCTGTTTAAACCAATTGCTCTGTTAACTGGTGCTCTGGTAATAGGAATCTTGATAATGTGAAACATAGGGAAGAAAATTGGGAACATGGGAGAGTGTTCTGTTAAATGAGCTGTTCCCTTATTCAGTATTCTGTTAAGTGGACCCAACTGTATTTAACATTGTAATATTGTAGTAAGAAAAAGGTGTAGTAATAGTTTATGAAATAATATCAAAATCTATTTTTGATATATGTGTGTAATGATAGTAGGAAGTAATTGTTTATATCCAAGAATATATTTAATTTCAGTGTTCCAAGTAAATTTAATTGCGTTAATTGCATTCTTGGATTATAATGTAGGTTTTGGAAGATGGCTCTGATGTATATATATATATATATTATACATGGTGTCCCATTTTAGTCAATATGTGGCGTAAGCATTTTGAATAAAGGATTCTTAACCTGTAGTATGAATTTTATAAAAAATAAATTTAAAATGAATTTTTATATGATTTTTAAAGTAAATTGATTGTAATTATATTTATTTTGTTTATTTATGTAGTTACCACCATTGTTTAATTCATCAGTCTCAACAAATGACAACGGTGATTCAAATCCACTAAATAAAACAAAATTACCAAGCATTGGTGTTCAAAACTCAAGTATGAATTTAATTTTGCTATTTGTTAAATATAATAAAAATAACATACTTTTTCAAATAAGTAAGGAAAAAAATTAAAGGAAGTAATCATTAAATTTGAAATATTTACTGAGATTTTTGTAAGTTGATATTTTTTTTAGAGTTTCTTATTATCTCACAATGTTAGCTCTGTTAATTGATTTACAAAAAATTAAATTTAAATAATTAATATACATTACTGTAAATAAGATAATAAATATTTCAGAAAAAATGCATTCCTACCAAAAGTAGATAATTGCTGGATGATTTTATTGCATTATGCAATAAAGATACAATATGATCAGTTTGTATGATATAAGAATGGAGTTATTGATTTGATGACTTTCTCCTGGTCATAGTTTTCATTTTTTTCACTCTTATTAGCTAAAAAATTATTTTAGTTTTGAAGTTTTAATTTAATTAAGGAAATATTATTAATGAGTTTTCACTTTGTAATTAATAAAATGAATATACTATAACATAATTTTCAGCTAACTAACAAGAATGATGAAAGTGGAGAATGTCATTGAAAACTTTATTTGTACATCATGCACACTGATCAAATTTTACTGCAGCTTATTATACAAATGTATTGAGTTGAATTTAAGTCTTTTCTTATAATATATCAGGTTTGGCCAACAAATCATTTTGTAAGCCACTTTGACAACTTTTGGATAATTAGTAATGTTTGAATATATTAATATTCAAATCAAATATTTTACATAAAATTGGACAAATAGAGTATATTTATTTTATTCATAATTATTCATAAATTTATACTTTTTAAAATTTTTAAATATTTTTACTTGAAAATTAATATATGAATTAAATTTATATATAGTCAATTCTTTTCACATAATTTATTTCAGAATTTAATAGGGTACAATAATTGTAAACTTTTCTCATGAATATAGAATAAGATGAATGGTTTAGAAACGTGTATATTCAATATATTAATAAAGTTAAATTACTTTTTCTTACATTATAAATTTTCAGTATTTTTTTTAATTGAAATAGAACAAATAATAGATGATGATGAAATGAGTGAAAGTGATGATAACACAGAAAAAAGTTCAAAGAGAAGATCTTTACTTCAAGAAGCAGAAGAAGATGAAAGTATTCGTCACGTTGACAGTGATTTAGATTCTGATCTTTCAGAAAAATCTGAATTGAATAAGGTATGAATTATATTTTAATTTAATAATAGAAATTTTTATTTAAAATGATTAGAGAAATGACTGGATTATGTATAAATGACTTTTAGTGAAGTAGATTTGTTAGTTAATGATAGATATTGGTTTTATAGATGCAGATGAATTTCCTTCTTAAAAGGATCAATTAATATTGTAATATATACAATCTATACAATACAATCTATTTATGGTAATCATGGCTATTATCAGTTGTTTAATATTATGAGAAGTTTCTATGAAGGAAAAGGATTAAGTTACAAAAGAATCATCTAAACCATGTTCTGTACTGAAGAAATTGAAAAAAAAAGGAAATAGAAATATGTCAATAACAAGTGAAAGATTTTTTATTTAAATGCCAGTGTAGTTAGTAGCTGCACCAGTCGTTATCTTGTTTGTGAATGTCGCATTCACATACAAGATGGTGATTAGAAGTGCTGCCATAGGGGCTACCTAAGTCCACATTACCAATATAAACTTCAAATAAAATGTATTACACATTTTAGATTCAAGAATTCAAATTCTTTTAGTCTGATAAAATTTAATCTACAGTAATATTACACACAAACATAACTTATTCAAATAGAGACAAATACTCTTATAAATATCTTTGTCCTACAATAATATTTTGCTATAAAATCAAAACTATTTCAGTTGCTATATAAATATAAAGAAAAAGAAATTAAAAAATAATTAATGATTTAATTTTTGAATTCATATAAAAATATTATCTGATGTTTTTAATAAATAATATGGAAAAATCTTTTTTCCTATAAAATAATATAGATGAAATTTATAACTGTTTTATTTTCTGTTAATTTTAATCACATCTTTATTTTCATTTTATAAAAAGTAATATGTAAAATTACAATTTTTTACATAATGAAAATAAGACAGCAATTAAGATTAACAGAAACCTTACCATATATTTCAAATAATCAGAAAATTGGTTATTTATATGAAGGGTATGAAGTCTATATTAAAATATTTCAACATTGTATTTCAATGTGATAGTTATGAGATAGTGCCATTATAACGACATCTTATAGAAGTACAGAATTATTCTGATATAACCTATACGAATTATGTAAAAAACCTACAAAAGTTATCAGAAAATTTCTCAAAATCTTTAATCTTTTAATATAATATTTATTTTAAAAATTTAGATTCTATAATCTAATGTCAATAAATTTGAAAAACTTGTTAAGTAATTTAAAGATCTATAAGTTTTTCTTTTTGAATCCTTGTATAATTTGCTTGAAATCTATAAAGCCAATTACTTTTACAGTCTATAAATGTTCAATTGATGATGATAAATGCTTTTAAAATTCATATTATTTATTTAAAATTGGAATATGTGTGTTGTACAGGTTTTCTTTACCTCCAGTTTTTCCTTTTGTTTTTTCTGTTTAACCTTTCAGTGGTAATTTTGATCAGCAATAAATAAAGCAAAATTTAACAGTGTGATAATTTCTTTTTCATTTATCTCAGCATTATGCTTTTCCATAACAAAATTGATAATTATACTTTTTGGTGTAAATATTTATATAAAAAATTATACTAAAGATCATTAGTGTATTTTTGATACAGGAGATCCTTTCCTTACAAACATTCAACTTACAAACTTTCAGACTTATGAACAATTTGATCGTACATCTAAAACTTAAAGTTTGCATATTCTTGCTGGTCTTGTGGTGGTGTTAAACTCAGTCTTTAACCAGTAATAAATAATAACTAATTAATGTGGATTTATTTCTATCACATATCATCATTTTTTGTTTTTGCATGAATTGTGTTCCATTGCCACTCATGAGGTGGCTTTGAAGTTGGTAACAGAGTAACAGCACTTTTCTTTGTTGTTGGCAATTTTTATAAACTTTTACAATTAAATTAATACTTCAGAATGCATCCAAAATGTAATAGTAAATCTAGTAATGGAGATAAATGCATTGTTCTATTACTGTGGAAACTAAACCTGTCTTTACAAAATTAAGCACATTAGGTAAAAAAAAAATTGCATTTGAAACACCCCTACTAAGCAGTAATGAGCAGATAAATGAGCTTAATGTGTTCTACTAAGTGCATTGAAGGATCAAACAGTAAACACTAACAATAAGTGGTTATTCTAAATGGTTTAGAAATGTGTATATTCAATATATTAATAAAGTTAAATTACTTTTTCTTACATTATAAATTTTCAGTATTTTTTTTAATTGAAATAGAACAAATAATAGATGATGATGAAATGAGTGAAAGTGATGATAACACAGAAAAAAGTTCAAAGAGAAGATCTTTACTTCAAGAAGCAGAAGAAGATGAAAGTATTCGTCACGTTGACAGTGATTTAGATTCTGATCTTTCAGAAAAATCTGAATTGAATAAGGTATGAATTATATTTTAATTTAATAATAGAAATTTTTATTTAAAATGATTAGAGAAATGACTGGATTATGTATAAATGACTTTTAGTGAAGTAGATTTGTTAGTTAATGATAGATATTGGTTTTATAGATGCAGATGAATTTCCTTCTTAAAAGGATCAATTAATATTGTAATATATACAATCTATACAATACAATCTATTTATGGTAATCATGGCTATTATCAGTTGTTTAATATTATGAGAAGTTTCTATGAAGGAAAAGGATTAAGTTACAAAAGAATCATCTAAACCATGTTCTGTACTGAAGAAATTGAAAAAAAAAGGAAATAGAAATATGTCAATGACAAGTGAAAGATTTTTTATTTAAATGCCAGTGTAGTTAGTAGCTGCACCAGTCGTTATCTTGTTTGTGAATGTCGCATTCACATACAAGATGGTGATTAGAAGTGCTGCCATAGGGGCTACCTAAGTCCACATTACCAATATAAACTTCAAATAAAATGTATTACACATTTTAGATTCAAGAATTCAAATTCTTTTAGTCTGATAAAATTTAATCTACAGTAATATTACACACAAACATAACTTATTCAAATAGAGACAAATACTCTTATAAATATCTTTGTCCTACAATAATATTTTGCTATAAAATCAAAACTATTTCAGTTGCTATATAAATATAAAGAAAAAGAAATTAAAAAATAATTAATGATTTAATTTTTGAATTCATATAAAAATATTATCTGATGTTTTTAATAAATAATATGGAAAAATCTTTTTTCCTATAAAATAATATAGATGAAATTTATAACTGTTTTATTTTCTGTTAATTTTAATCACATCTTTATTTTCATTTTATAAAAAGTAATATGTAAAATTACAATTTTTTACATAATGAAAATAAGACAGCAATTAAGATTAACAGAAACCTTACCATATATTTCAAATAATCAGAAAATTGGTTATTTATATGAAGGGTATGAAGTCTATATTAAAATATTTCAACATTGTATTTCAATGTGATAGTTATGAGATAGTGCCATTATAACGACATCTTATAGAAGTACAGAATTATTCTGATATAACCTATACGAATTATGTAAAAAACCTACAAAAGTTNCAGTTTCACTCCTATCTACTGTTATAGTCTGTTTCATTCAGAAAAATATGCATCCAACAGATTTTGAGCTTTGAAAATCAACATTCTGTGAAAAAAAGAACATCTCTTTACATGTGTTCCAAGCAGAACAAAACATATCCATTACAGTCTGCCTCAGCCAATGAAGTGCTATGATTGAGTCATATGATGATGAACTGTTGAGAATGCAACAGGTGGTTTTGTTTTTGTTTTGTCATTTTGTTGTTCTGTTGGAACAGAGATTTTGATGTTAAAATGTTGTTTATTAGTACACATTTTATTATACAGTATATTTCATTGTTATAATTGAGTGAAAATGGATGAAGAGGGTTTGATAAGTGTAGAAGAAGGAAATGTTGGATCTAGAAAAAAATCTAAAACTGTTGGAGTACGGGCAAAGAAGAAAATACAAAAATACAGTGCTCCTTTGGGATGAGATTTGAGAAGCCAGTTGAGCAACTATCTGTAGGGCACCCTCTGTCAGCTGCCAAGAAAAAAGACATTGAATCACTTTTAAATGATGACAGTTTTTCATGGTATAAACAAGTGTTATGAAACGGGACCAAGCTTGAAGCAGATGACCCAGAAAAAGAAGAAAATAATGGGAACCTGTGTGATTATTTGGGAAAAGATATTTATTGTTCATCCCTATTTTCTAAAATGCCATGTTTTTTAGATAAGTCAAAGTAGTAGCCAGTGTAACAAAGTGAAAAAGAATATAGTGGTCAGGCAAAAGAAAACATATCCTAACATAGTTCATGCAAAAAAAAACATATCCACTCTGTCCAAGCAAAAAGAAACATGTCCATATTTTAATGCCATATAATTTAATACTAACTATATTCCTATAAAAAATTGCTTTCAAATATTGATGTTAGATACAAAATGAAAAAAATAATAAATTTTTACAGGTGTGAAGTGTAAAATAAATTTAATAACAGTTTTTTGCATTTTTCCAACAATCGTTCACAGTGGACTTGTTTGCTTTTGCATGGCACCTCTACAATTGTCCTTCCTCTTTGAAATTAATGCAACAGCCTCTTTTTTCAGATGTAAATATTTTGAGAGCTTTCAGTGACCTTATTCTAATCTTTTATTTGGAAAAAGGAAAAAATTATACAAAGGAATGCTTTAGAAACTTGCATAACACTTCATTGTTAAAGGTTGCTTGATTTTATTCAGTCCATGATTGGTGCCAGATGTGGATACCCTGTATATCAGAAATGATAAATTTTAAAAATGTAGCAACCAACCACTTGTATAATTTTTTCAGATTAATTACTTCTGTCATAAATATTATTCTGTATTAGCTGAATTAATTTTGTAAGTTTTTTATAATTGTAAATGTTTATTAAATTCTATTTCAGACACATGTATTGGTGACAAATGAGTATAATGAATCACAATTAAAGCCAATAAAAAATACATCTCTACAAAATGTAGATGGAGAAAAGGTTTTTAACTTTTTATTAATTGTTTTAATTTATAAATTTGAAATCAATATCATAATAAAATGTAAGACAAATATTAAATATAAAATATATAATATGAATAAGGTTACCAAATATTAATCTGACTTAATTTAGATATGTAAAATAATGTATATGTTTGATGTATTTTTACTTTCCCAGCCATTATATAACTTAGGGAAAGTATGATGACTGGTTAAATTCCCTCCAGTTTTATTACATTTGATGTTCTGACACTCAAGGAGCCCAAACATGTAAAAAAATCCCTTACAAAATTTTGAAATTGTGTGTGTGTATGTGCATCTGTATGCTTAGGCATCTGTTTTGTACATCTCAAGGACTGGATGAACCAAAAATTTTGAAACTTTGCAGGCTTATTTCTATATATGGGGCATTGATGCTATTAAATTTTGGTGGTTAAAGGCCAATGAGGTTGGGAGATAGAAGGGGTCATATGCCATATTTTGAGTGGGATCAGACTTAATGAAATTTTAGTTGTTATTGGCATTTACAATATTTTTAAAAACTCATCTCTACCCTCAAAATTAATTAAGCCCTTTGCCTTTTTATAATAATAAAAAATATTTTATAAAAATCTGTTATAAAATCTCATAACAGATGGCACCATACACACCTACACAATTTTAACTTTGAGCTAATCTGTCTTAGTCTTTTTTAAACTTAAATACCTTTTTAAATATAGATTTTTATCATAAAAATTACTCTCTTTATACTTTTATTATTATTTAAATTTTATATTGTAGTATAATTGAAAATTATTGCACTTTCTAAAGGTCTCCCTAACAACTTATTTGAGTGCCAAGAAAGTTGAGCAAAAAGCCTTTGCCAGGTTTTTAATATAAACTTAATTTTCCAAAGTTAAAAAAGTTTAATAACTTATAACAACAGAATAATGGTTAACCATAATAATCATATATGTGATCGAAGGGTCGGCATCTCTTCGATGCCCTGTCAGGATGACACCACCGCATCTCAGTTGACACGGAAGCCGTGCTAACTAGGTCATGTAAGCAGTCGCATAACGGAGCGATCAGATTTGGGATGGAAGGAGAGACAGTGCACTGGAAGTGACTTACACAGAGACAGGTTAATGTAACAACCGTTTAATAGATAACAAAGGGGTAATACAGGGCATACAATATATCAATTGTAAATATGCTAGATTTAAATACATTGGTTATGATTGATATTATATACATTAGATGGAGTTAACTTAAAGTCTTGAGAGAGAGAGAGTTTACAATAAAAACACGTGGCGATAAATACCTTGTATAAAATCTTGATCTGTTGCAAGCCGGTTGGACAGAAAGGAAGACAGTTCTGGACAACAGTTCTTATTCCCACAGTTCTGGACAACAGTTCTTATTCCCACAGTTCTGAGTTAACTAGATATTATGCGAGCAGGTAGCCAAAGGCGAGGAGATATCCAAAGGAGCACAGGTTATCTGTATATTTCAACACAGGAAAAATTTGAGTGGTCAGATCAAGGAACTGGTGACAACTCCCCCACTGTGTTGTCTTGTTCTATATTTTGAACTGTTGAAATCAAGATATTAGGTTGAGAGGTGATGAGAAAAGCATCATTATCAGGCATGAGAACTTAACAGATGTTTTGCTCCCAGGTGTAAAAGTTGCCAGTTATTTAATGAAAGTATAGCTACAATGTGATGTTATGAATAAATGATGTAAACATACTAAAAGTCAGGATTCGGATCCTCACATATATAAGTTATAAGTATACCAATAAAATCACATACATCTATAGTTAAGTTCAAGGGGACTCCAAAAGAAATATGCCATATTTTTTTTTGAAAAAGTTTTTAATATTACAACTGTATAATATTTACAGATCATGTTTACAACCTTCAAATACAATGCCTTATTTTTCCACACAGTCTCACCATTCTGAACAGCTTTTCTCCATCTGAAAACAATGCGTGTATCCCCATTCAGTAGAACTCAGAACCAGCATTCAGCATTCTGTGTTTTTATTGCTGCCACAAGACTCATCTTCAGGGAAGTTGGTTTTTTGCAAGGTATCCCTTCAGAGTACCAAAGAGATAGATGTCATTTGGTGCTAGGTCAGGACTATAAAGTGGGTGTGCCAATATAGTTCATTTGATTTTTTTATGGCTTCCATGATTTGAAGGTTTGTATACAGCTGTGCATTATTGTGCTAAAGGAGAATGTCTATTAGTATCCTGCACACATTTGCTTTTTTAATATTCACTTCCAGGGCCAGCTCTTTTATGGTTGTGCATCCATTAGCAGAATCATTGTTTGCCTGCTATACTGCTGCTTCTGACATGGCTGTTAGTAGTTTGCCACTTTATGTCAAATCTTGAATGCTATCATGTCCATCTTATACTGAAAATTTATTGTGACATTGCTATAATGCCAGTTGCAATGCTCTCAATTTTAGTAGTGTCTTTCCCCTGTACATCATACTTTTTCTGTTTTTTCATGGCTTTCATCTACCTAACTCTGTTCTTGAGATTAAGAAAGGACAGACAGGCAGACAGATGGATGCCGGTGAGAATTTATAGATCTGCAATTTCAAAATCTCAACCCAATATAGATATTTAAACATTTTTAAAAACATAATATAGTACAGATATTATATTGTGCTCATAATGGTCATCTGTCTGGCATTGTACATATAAGTTGACATTTTAATAAATTTCAGCATTTATCAATATGAAAAATAATATTTTAAAAATTTTATTCAGTTTTCAAAACTTTGTTACAGTAGAAGTTCATTAATGTGACACATAATAATCTGAAATGTCTGGTAAGCCAATATTCTCTGAAAAGTAGCCAATAATCTGGAAGTGTCTGATGATAATCTGGCATTCTTGTATTCCATGAATTGGAATTTGTTTGGACGTGGTGAGCTAAAGACCTCAGGTGGAAATCCAGATAAAATTCATACATGTTTATTGGTCATTGTGTTACGAATAGTTTGGATATCTCAAATTCCTATGCAGTGTAAACTGTATGCAGTTTATAATGAACAAATTGAACAATGAACAGTTTACAATTGTGCTGAACAAACATTGAATGCTTTTTTNTCAAATTCCTATGCAGTGTAAACTGTATGCAGTTTATAATGAACAAATTGAACAATGAACAGTTTACAATTGTGCTGAACAAACATTGAATGCTTTTTTGAAAAAGTCCCTTTCCACCTTCGAGTTCATAAATTTTACTCATGTGTACAAAAGCCGGAGGAAGATGTACAGACATACGCAGCGCGATTACAAGCCCTTGCTACCGAAATTGAGATGAAGCAAGAGGGAGCAGATGCAGTGGAGACCGCAATGATTAAGTGCATACAGGATAAAGAATTAGACGAAAGATTAAAAGCTCAGTTTCTGAATGGCATACATCTTAAAATCAGACAACGCGTCATGTCACGTGAACCTGCTACTTTTGACGAAGCTTTAAAAGCTGCTATAAGTGAGGAAAGTATAGACACTCTGACGGCATAGCCCAGTTTTAAAATCAGACCTATAAGGGAAGTTAAATCCACTACAGAGAAACCACCTGAAGAGTGGGAATCAGTCAAAGCCACTATCGAGGAACTTCGAAATCGATTGGACGAAATTACGAGCAGGTTATCCTCTCCGCAATATAGAAAATGCGAGAATCGTTCGACTTCCTATCCTCGACGCAATAGGCTAACCGCACACAGGAAGCCCATAACTACCGACGAATTAGATGTCCCCTCCGAGGAAGAGGAGAAGTGGCAAGGCATCATTAGAACTACAAGGACTCAAACGAAGAAGAAACCCATCATCTTAGGGTATGTGAATAATATCCCAGTCAAATTTCGAATAGATCCAGAGCTTAATGAGACTTTAGTGTCTACAGAAATTGCCAATAAATTAAAATGGAAGGCCCCAGTAAAATTTGGACAACGAAGGAAGATGGTAGGTCCGAATGGAGAATCCATCTCAACCATAGGCATGACTGTCCCTATTTTCAAATTTAGAGGATACAAGTTCCCCAGATCGTGCAAAATAGTCCGATCGGAAATCACCGCTCCTTGTGAAGGGATCATCGGACGAGATATAATAAAAGAAGAAGGCCTCATTCTCGATGATGCAAACGAGAAAATAATGTTACCGAATGGCAAAATTGTTCATTTTTGCTCAAGCTGTAAACCTCGACAGAAGCCGAAAAGACGAAAACTCGACACTACGGAAGAAGAAGAAGAGCTACCTGAAAAAATGGTCATACGACTTATGCATCAAGATCAATCGCATGTCCCAAGGGTGCGAAATGAAGGCACACAATCTTACAAAAATAGGAAAAGACGAAGACAAAAGCAAAAGCGAGGTCCAGGTAACCTACCGAAAGAGTCTACAACTCCTTCCGGTGAGAATAGAATTCAAATCGTACGAGCCCAAAATCCGACCCCTTCCCACCAAGAAAGAAAAAGAAGAACTCTTCCTCGGCTCTAGCATAACACGCTTAAATTCCTCAAAATCCTCAATGTCTTTGATTCGTCTATCCTTTCGAACAAATTCTCTGGCTATCCCCGTAAGTCTCAGCTTTGCTATTGCCAACATTTGCGCTTTTGTCCATCCTGACAATTTTGCCAGATCTGATAGAGAGTGAAAAAACTCAGTTATTCTAAGTCCTGCTGTATCTCCAGAAAATGCAGGCAAAAGAGGGACAAAACTTCCTATGTTCCCTAAGACTGCTCTAGGGTTTTCTCCTTCCATTTCTATGCTACTATGTCCTAGAATCGCTTANGGGTGCGAAATGAAGGCACACAATCTTACAAAAATAGGAAAAGACGAAGACAAAAGCAAAAGCGAGGTCCAGGTAACCTACCGAAAGAGTCTACAACTCCTTCCGGTGAGAATAGAACTCAAATCGTCCGAGCCCAAAATCCGACCCCTTCCCACCAGGAAAGAAAAAGAAGAACCTTGGAAAGCAAAGAGGAAATGACGATGCATCGAAAGGTTAAAAGAAAAAGAGTAGCGCAACGAGAAGCTACGCTTCCTACACACCTACCGAAACCGGAAATCCGTCATCACTCTGACATAGAAATCGTCAGTCCGCCAGACTCTGTCCATTTTCAAAGCGATCTCCTAACTGAAATTATAGAATACATTGACAAGGCTAANTTTAATATTTAAAATTTATTTATTTAGCAATCTGAAAGTATGAAAAAAGAAAATGAAAATGCAAAAGAATCAAAAAATGAGAAAGAAGAACCAAAGGAACAGAATATTTCAACTCCTGGTAATGAAATAGAGATTTTGTCAGAACACACCATTGATTCTCCTAAAGAGAAAGGTTAGAATTAAATTAGTTTTTAAGATTTGAAATGAATGTTATATACTATATTTTAACAGACATTTAGGGATCACAACACACTGTGTTCTATGTTAAAATTGATTGTCCATGAGATCAAAATTGTCTTTCTGGATGCTATTAATCTTATATATTAGATTTAATGTTTTTATTGTATCATCAGATAGAGATAAGGAAAGTTGATGAAAATATTTTAAGACATGTAAATTATAATAGCATTTGTTTCCTACAGAAAATAAAAGAAATTTTTTGATTTTGAACAATAGTTGCATTATGAATAACTGCTATTGCTGTAGAATAATAAAATTCAAATTATAATTGTTGATGGTTAAGAAGTTAATAATCATATAACTTTTAAAATCAGATCTTCCTAGATACAGTAGAGCATTGTTTATCTGAAAGTCAATTATCCGAAAGAATTCCAGTCTGCAAATTTAAATTTTCGCCGGTGCTGTGGCACTGCAATCTTTGGCTATGTCTTGGGCTACTCAAATATTTTACATTTTTGATACTAAATTAACTTCTGAAGTATAATTTTTTATTGTTTTTATATTTTTCAATATATTTATTTTGTTTGTGCAAAATAAAAAAATAATTTTTAATGATACAATAGTCTTTGTTAGGCTTAACATCAACGAAAATTCAACACGAAGCGACATGCAACGGAGAAAAATTTCAACATGGGATAGGTTAATATATTTTTTTGTACATAATTGGTTATCCGAAATAGCGATTTACCGAACATCCCCAGTCCCCAATTGATTTGGATAAATGACTCTCTACTGTATTACAATTTTATTACTGTAATTATTGTAGGGCAATGTTTTTCAAGCTATGCCTTTCCACAGACCTCAATATAAAAGGAAAACTTTTAGCAAATCTTCTTGCATAGAATTAAATTATCATAATTTTTTGTGTATAATTAAACCAGAATATACCCTCAACAAATTGCCAGAATGACAATAAAAAAAATGTTGTGTACCACTAAAGCCATTGGAATATGTCATTTTACTTGTATGCAATTTAGAAGATATTGTTTCAGACATTGTTTTTCCTTCCTTTATTTCTGTCAGCATTATAGATGTAATTATAAAATGAGTGAAATGAAAAAAAAAATGGAATATTTTGAGATAAACTATATTTATTGGGTTGTTCGGAAAGTAAGTTTGTTTTTTTTACCACTAGATGGATTAGTGGTGTTTTTCCCGCCATTTTCGTTCTAAACTGTATTATCATTATATATTTTGACAGCTAGCATTTTATGGCTTATTTGTAAAAAATATTTTGTTTGATTTTGTGCAATTGTTTATTTTTTGTGTTCCATCAAATATGGAAGATCGAAAGCAGCATCTTCGGCATATTTTGCTTTTTTATTACCAAAAAAATAAAAATGCCGTTCAAGCAAGAAAAAAATCGTGTGACATGTATGGTGGAGATGTGTTGACAGAACGACAGTGCCTAAACTGGTTTACAAAATTTCGTTCTCGCAATTTCAGTATTGAAGATGCACCACGTTATGGATGGCCAATTGAAGCCAATGAAAACAAAATAAAAGTACCGATTGAAGCAAACTGCGGAATAACAACACGTGAAATCACTAAGAGATTAAATTTGTCAAATTGAACTGTTTATGAGTACTTGAAACAAATTGGTTTCGTTTCAAAGCTCGATATATGAATTCCACGAGTTCTTAAAAAGAAATGCTCTATTTGGTGGGATTTTAAGGAAATTTTTTTTGGAGCTTTTACCAGAAAATTTAACAATTGATTCGAAAGTGTACTGCATTCGAGTAAACAAATTGCGTAATATCATCAAACAGAAAAAGCCGGCCAGAATCGATAAAAAAAAACAGGCGTAGTGTTTTATCACAATAATGTCAAATTTCACGCAAGTTTGGTAACTGGTCAGAAACTGTTATAACTTAGATGGGACGTGCTATCACACCAACCGTATTCGCCAGATCAAGCACACTCAGATTATTACTTGTTCCAGTTTATACAATTTTTTTTTAACTATAAGACATTTACTTGAAATGACAATGTCAAAAATCACTTGGATCGGTTTTTTGTAAGCAACGATCAAAACTTTTATGAATGTGAAATCGTGCTACTACCAGAAACGATGACAACAGGTATTTGACCAAAACGGTCAACTTATAATTCAATAAAATATTTATTTATTATAAGAATATTGCGTTTTTTTCCATGGAAAAAAAACGAACTTACTTTCCGAACAACCCAATAGATCAGAAATAGTAGTAGTATATATTTGTGAGGCTACATCCTTGGCTACACTCAAACATGAATAACACCAATGTATAATAACAAATGACTATGTATATTCGTTACTGTTATTATTATACATATTACTAGCTTACCCGTCGCGCATTGTTGTGATCTCAGAAGAAACGAAATTCAAGCAAACTCATTATGATAAAATTAAATTTACATTTTATAATTTTTATTGAAACTTATTATTATTAATTTTCATCGGGAAAACATTTCAAAGTGTTGGTTCAATTCTATTTATTTATTGGAGTGCTTGTGGATACACGATATTTTTTGTTTTTCCGTCTGGTGCATACGTGAATAAATCAGAAGGTTTTCTAATGCGTGGGTTGGCCACATATAGTTGTCCATGTGAGAAGCATGGATTCTCCAAATCTACCCCACACACTTGCAGCGATTGTCAGAAGTGCGATATTCCCCATTTTTATATATATATTTTAATCCTTTACAATTTTAATTATTTAATTGTTCCTTCCTCTCTTCCTTGGCATGTTGTGAAATTTCTGATAGTTGGATAATAAACCGTTTTATTGTAATTTGTCTTTTTAAATTATTTCAACTTTTTTTTTTTGTTAATTAAGTATTCGCTCGAACTTTGTTAAAACCTTAACTGTATCCTGAACAACAACTGAAGTTGTAGAAGGAAATTTGCCTATTTTATCGATCTAGGGATCCCCTTTTCCAAATTTTAATATCGACTCAAAATAAAGTGATTAATTAAACAAAAATTATTACAAATATCGTAAATAACAGTTCACAAATGCTTATATAGAGATATTTTTTGGAGGGGAAAATGGTCTTCACAATTTGAAATCGATCGAACACTGTAAAATGCTCGTATACACGCGCGCCATCTATTGTAGGATAAATGTACTATGCCAGAAACCTTTGCAGGAGTGTATTAAAAAACTTTCCAAAGTTTCATGGCAATTGGATAAATGGTGTAGTAATGCATGAAGGACAGACACACATACATTCATTTTTATATATATATACACATATAGTTGCAATAATAACAGTAACAAATAATTAATAAAGTATACATAGTCATTTGTTATTATACGTTGGTGTTATTCTTGTTTGAGTGTAGCCAAGGATGTAGCCTCACAAATATAATAAATTCTCACTACAAACAAGTATTGATATTATGAAAAACAAGAAACATCACAATTACACAAAGCTGTACTGTTGCAAACAAAAATAATACATAATTAAATCTGTACAACATTGACTTAGAGCTAATACAGTACACAGAATGCACAGACACCAATAAGCATGGTGGGCATTTTAATGATCTCAGTCAGGACCATGTTGACAGAATTACATCAAATTCTGGTGACTCATGACTCATGGATGCTTCTTTGGAGCATCAGCAATGTGAATAATCAGAAGATAATTCATGATTGCCATATAAGACCAGATCATAAATACAAGAAACTACAGAAAGCACATTTAAAAGATATACCTTGCAATACTTGCAGAAACACTTGTAGAAAATTCCATATTATGCACAAAACTATATCTCACATTACATCAGCAAGCTTTTCATACAGACTGATTAATTATATCAATATAAGCAAACAATATCTATACATAATACATGGAAAATTTGCACACAAAGATAAATTATTACAAGCTCAATTACCAAACTACAAATACACACCATACATAATCATAGAAAAAACACACAAAATATACACTACCAAAAATGGAAATTCCTACACCAAGAAAAAGGAGTTATACTAGGAGAATGAAAATTATACAGAATATTTATCTATATGATTATTACATTGATACCAGCTTCAAGGTCACAATTCACATGATGCATGTACAGTCTCACAGTAAATGCAAATTAAAAGTTACCAATAGATGTGTGGAGCTGTTTATAAACATTGTCATTGTGAAAAGCTGTGGTAACATTAGTTGCAATATATCAAAAGTTGCAGTTTATTGTTGCCTAAAAAGCAACAATAAACTGCATATTAGCAATTAACCAGTTTGAACGAAGCCATGTGGTAGGCCACAAGAGAGTAGATTTTCATTTTGTGAGATTGTGGAAAGAATGGATTGAGACATGTCCACTGTGTACAACTATTGGCAGTAATGATCCATTACTATGAGAAGATGGTGGTTTGGACCCTTTCAGGCCACTGGAGGGATAAAGATTGGTACATATACAGGATATCCCTGACATATTGCAGAGCTTCTGAATCTAAATTTGAGCTGCAGTAGCACCCAGTGTCACAGACAAGAACTGTTTTTGCCTTGGTATCAGTGATGGACTTACACAGAATTGTGTTGCGTGTGTGATTTAAAAAAGTGTGAAATGCATGAAAACATTCAAGGAGAGTTGGTATCCACTTTTCATTCTGAGGAGAATTTGAATGTTTAATTCAAGAAGGAATGGAGATTTTAGGATACTAATACTGCATGAAAATAAAATTTTAATTAAAAAGACAAAATCACATGAAAAAATACAAAAATGAATTTTATGATGAGGACCTGTGAGAACTACAATCAATCAGGAGAAAAAGTTACAGACCAAGGACCAAAGTTCCAATTTGTGACTTAGTCTATTTGATAAAGTCAGAATACTTTATCAAATAGACTGAATCACAAATAATACTTTATGAAGTCAGATAAATTTAAGTCACTTTGCTATCCTGAAATCACACAACACTTGAAGAAATCAATACTTGACTTAGAAGACTGAAGGCATAGTGATGTGGACTAGTTTATTGTCAGTTGGGTGCACATCTGCTATAGTTATCTTTTCTGAACTTCAAATATTGTCAACCAGATGGTCAAGATAGTTAATTAAGGCATCATCTTACTGCTATAGGGAACTCTGAATCAAATTCAGACAGGTTAAAAAATCCTTAGGATATTTTAGAGGATGGTCTGCCCTGTATGTCATGCCCCATCCCTCACCATCTGGCTGTTCCATTGTGAATGTTGCCAAAAACACGACAGTCCTGATAAAACAGCTCTGTTAGTGCCCAAAGGATGGAAAGAGTCAAAAAGAAAAAAGAACTTCAAATATTGAAGATAAATTATCAGCTGTTCCAAACTTTAAAACTTTTTAGTTTCCTTTTTTTGATAGTTTTTCATTGCTGACAATAAGATATTTTAACAGATGTTTTTAATAAAGATAAAACATTACAAGAAATATTTTTTTTATTTCACAATATAATACACTTTTTTTTTCTTTTGAGAGCACAAAAGGAAAAAGAAGAATACATTATGAAATAAAAAAATTAATTTTTTTCTTGTTCATTACTGTTGTATATGAAATGGGGTCACCCCAATTGTTTTATCATATAAATATATTTTCCATATTAATAAGTACTTTGTTTTTTCTTTTGAGAGCACAAAAGGAAAAAGAAGAATACATTATGAAATAAAAAAATTAATTTTTTTCTTGTTCATTACTGTTGTATATGAAATGGGGTCACCCAAATTGTTTTATCATATAAATATATTTTCCATATTAATTAGTACTTTGTTCTTTACATTTTTAAATAAGTCAATTAAGTATTTCTGTAATACATAGTTTGTTTTTTCTTAATAATAGAAACTTCAAAATTTACTTCGTGGTTGACATTGCGAAGACGACAAAGTAAAGAAATAGATGCTAAAGAGAAAACAAACAAAGATAAAACTAAACAGGCATCACGTTTATCATTATTTAGAGGAAAAGGTTGGTTGTAATACTTTTTTATTTACTTTTATTTTATGTTATATTATCTTAAAATATTAGATTTTTAACAGCAATTTGCTTTTTTTTCCCATGAGAAGTCTTATTTATGGATCAAAATACAGTGGAACCCCAGTTAACGAACGTCCTGGTTAACGACCAAATCGGTTAACGAACTTTTATTTTGCAAAAATTTTGTCTTGGATAACGAACGTAACGATATTTTGTGCCAAATTTTAGTTGGTGTTAGGCATGCGCAAGTTAAGCATTGTTTTTCCAAGTGTTTGTGCTATACTTCTTTTTTTCAGTTTTGTGATTTACATATTTAAGCAGTATAGCATCAAAGAAAGAAAAAAGTCATAGTGGCAATAGAAAACGACAACACAATATAAACAACAATGCGCTATTGCATTTGAGAAAAATTTTGATTAAAAGAGTAAGACAATCAACTGTAGATCAATTTCTTGTTCCTTACGGAAAGAGTTTGTTTCTTTGTTAAGTTATGGCAACACAACACTTGGGCGATCTGACTAGGGGGAATGCCTTCTGGGAGGTGTTTTTAAGGGAAACTGGCTCCTATTTAGGCGTTACAGACATGGAGAAATCCCGGAAAACTCCACATGGCCAGCCTGTCTGAGCGATGTGTGAACCCATGAATGAACTCTCCATGTTCAAGGTATGAACACCACTTAGCCACTGGTGGGTTTTTTTTACTGAAAGAGACTTTGTCTCGAAGAATCTTCCGATGAAGTGCTACCCATTATTTTTTTGGAGGGGATTCCACTTCTAAGCATTAAGGTTCATATATCTCCACTTTTCTGCCACCAACTACAACAAACGAAGGTATGTACAGTGCTATTTTATTAAACAAAGTTCACATGTTTGTTGCTGTAATGATAGATACTACGTTTTCCTACATTTTCATCAAAGAAAATTACTGTATATTACAAATAAAAT